GCCCAGAGCCATCCGCCCAAAGCAGGCCTCGGGCCCAGCCGAGGAGCCCTGGCCGGCGCATGTCACCAGGCGGCTGGCTGGCACACAGCGGACAGGCGCCCAGGCCGAGGCCGTGGGAGTCCAGACCCGGTGCTCCCTTCCGTGCCACCTCAGAGCATGGGAGACACACACCGAGCTGGGTCGCGGTGACAGTCCAGCGGGCAGGGAGGGCACCCGGGGAGCAGCACACAGCTATGGCCAGTGTGTGAAGGGCCAGTGCCTCTGAGGCTGCAGAGAGGGGCGCGAGTCTATGCAGGGGCTGCTCCCTGGGTGCGCATCCTGGGCCGGGGGCTAATGCCAGGCCTGACGGGTGGCATGGGCGCCTTTGGGAGGCAGGTGAGGAAGAATCTATAAGCCAAGTTTCCCACAGCAGCACTGTAAGCTCAGAGATGACAGAACACTGCCTTCACGGTGCTGAGGCGAAATGCTTCTCAGCTGGCGTTTCATATGCAACTGTCAGTACATGAGCGTGCAATAAAGACTTGTTTCACACCTGCAGACTCTCAAAGCACTTATCTCCCCTGTTCCCTTTCTTAGGAAGTTACCAGAGATAATGCACCTCTAAAGCGAGGGTGACACGGGTTCGGGCAAACGGGACCCAACACAGGAGGGAGGTGGAAGGAATTCCCAGGACGTCTCCACGCAGGCAGGGCTGGAGGGCCAGCCGGGGCCCGGAGGACCAGGGACTGGATGACCCCACAGGGAGCTCTCCAGGAGAACAATAAAACTGATATATTACAGATTTAATCCTGGAAAACTACACTAACAACTGCTGTACGGGCTTGTTGGAGGGTAGAGCAAACATTTAACTATAAGCTTGAATAAACGAAGCAAATAAAAAATCAGGGCAATTACCAAGCCCAGGAAAAACAGCAAGTTATATAGAAAATGGAAATGCAATTATAGTGCAACTCTGGGCACACCAGTGAATAGCATTTACATAATCACACTAATTATGGATCTGCTCAAAAGTTCTGATGTAACTAAACTGGGAGAGTGTGGGAGAGAAAGGGACAATGGTTTATGTCTAAAATTGATTAATCATGTGCTCATTCTCAGGAAGACATTAGAGCTGTGCTATTCAATACATGGGACATTTAAATTTTAACTAATTAAAATCAAATCTAAAATTCAGTTCACCAGTCACACCACACCAGCCATATATTAAGCTCTCAGTAGCCATGTGCTGCCGCCACCCTGTAACACTCGGAGAACATTTCACCATCACAGGAAGTTCTGATGGACGGGGTCACACTAGGCAGTGTGCCACATCCAAACAAGGCAGTGAACTAAGAGAAAGAAAGACATTGGGGTCTCGAAACAGAAAATTCATGTTTATAAAAGCGGTTAAGGAGAATCCCTAGGATAAAGTAAAAGGAGATCCCCACGGCTGTCAGAAGGCCCTGTGGGCCCCCAGTCCAGATCAAAGGGGAGGGGGGCTCCAGGGAATGTCTCCCCAAAGAGACTCCCTGGGGAGACAACATTAAATGTCTGAATTTCCAGTAAGATCAGCATCACTGGAGGAGAGTTTAGGGATGGTACATACCACATGGCTCAGCTATGAATTGGGTAAATTAATGTAAAGCCTGAATGCTGATGTCACCTAAGTAATAATATAAGTATGCTGGAGAAGGCAGAAGTGCACGTATGACAGAGCAGAGAGGGTTAAATCTTAAATTATTGGTTCTCATATTGTTAAGTCAACAGATAATCCCTAAAACAGAAAAACCAAGATTGAACAATATCAGGATGTCATTAACGATGTAAACACTAAAAGACCCTAATGGGAGAGTTTAAAGTGGTTGCCTGATGAGAATCAGAAATGGAAGGTAAACATTGTACAAATAGCTGACATTTCAATCTACGTGTATGTATGACATACAAATCTAAATATCTAAATTGCTTTTAAATTAAAATTAAACAAATTAATCAAATTAGTAGTATGTGTATATTAATTAGGAATATGGAGATAAACACCAGGGTGGGGGAAATAAACAGCTAAAAGACTTGAAAGTTCTTTTTTCTGGGGAACAGACTGGCAGTTGGGCCAAGAGATACCTGTTTTTGTTAGAAGCCTTCCAACAGTATTTGAACTTATACTTTTAAAGCTCCTATGTGCACACATTACTTTCATAAAGATAACTATTAAAAACCAAATGATAAACAAAAAAATAGTATAAAATAATAAGCAATGGGCAAAGATGTAGAAAAACTGAACCCCTCATACACTGTTGGTGGGAAGGCAAAATGGTGTAACCACTCTGGAGAATACCTTGGCAGGTTCTCAAGGTGTTAAACATAGATTCACTATTTGATCCAGCAATTCCACTCCTAGGTATCTACCCAAGAGAAATGAAAACATAGGTTCACACAAAAACTGTACACAAATGTTCAGAGCAGTGTTATTTGTAATAGTGCCAAACCAGAAGAAAACCAAAACGTCCATGAACTGATGACTGGATAAACAGTATGTGGTCTATCCACATAAGGGGATACTATTCTCAATAAAAGAGAATGAACTGCTGATGCATGCTACAGCGTAGAGGAACCTAGAAAACATTAGGCCAAGCAAAAGAAGCCAGGTACAAAACACTGCATATGTTAAGGTTCCATTACATGAAATGTTCAAGGAAGGGCTATTTATGGAGACAGAAGGTAGATTAATGAACGGCTGCCAGGAGCTGGGGGTTGAAACGGGGAGTGACAGCTAGTGAGTATGAAGTACTGGCAATGTTCTAAAATTAGAACACGGTAAACACATTACACATCCCTGAGTTCACTTTGGTGCATTTTATGGCATGTAACCTGACTGTGATAAAGCTGTTTTTTATAAAGCCAATGAAAAAGTCTATTTAAAGAAGAACTGCAGACAATGAGCTAAGTCCTTCAATAAGTTATTATTACAATAAACATGAAAGGCTGGTGTTTTCATCCCCCTTTAACAGATAAGGAAGTTGAGGATGGAAGTTGGGCAACTTGCACAATTAGCAAGCATAGCAGAGCTGAAATGTAGGGGCATGCACCCTAACTACTAAGTTCACGCATTTGTGACTGCTGGGCCCGTAAGAGCTGTGGGCAGATCACACCAAGGCCTGAGTTAAGGCCCCCTTCACCCTCAGTCCCACATAACCTAGTCACCATTTCTGTGCAGTGTGCTGTTAGGAGCATGGGTGACCTTTGAGTAGCCCAAGATTTTCTGTCTCTTTAGGGACCAAAGCATATTGTGATATTGCAACTTATAAAAATAAATAAATGTGTGGTGGCAGTCCCTGTTCCTGGCTCACAGCTCAAAGCCCTGGAATCCTGGGAGAGAAGAGCAATGGGAGCATATTCTGTTATGACATGCAGGCCTTTTGTCATCAGTTCCTGAGAATAGCTGCACGTGTCATTCATAACAGGGCCCTTTCACCCACACCTGAGTGTGTATTAATGAGGCGACTTTTAAAAAACTCCAAGAAAGATGGGGGCTGGGGGCCAGGGGCTGGGGGTTGAATTAATCACCACTGGCCAATGATTTAACCAAGCATGTCCATGTCCAGAGGTGCCATAAAAAGCCAAGGGAGCTCAGGGAATTCTGAGGGCGGCGCTGGGAGTGTGGTGCGCTCAGTGTGGGAACTCTGTGCCCTGCTCCCCAGACCTTGCTCTCTGCACCTCTTCCATCTGGCTGTGCCTGAGTTATATCATTTTATAATAACCCAGTACCCTCGTGAGCACAATGTGTTCTGGAGTTCTGTGAGCAGCTCTAGGAAATCAATCAAGCCCAAGGAGGGGGTTGGGTCGCTGGTACCTCCAGTTTCTAGCTGGTCAGTCAGAAGCACAGGTGAGAACCTGGACTTACTGGCAGTTGGCATCTGAAGGGAGTGGGAGAGGGCATTCCTGTGGGCCTGAGCCCCTAGCCCGTGAGATCTGATGCTACATCAGAACCGACTCAACTACTTAGTGGTGCAGGAAAAGCCTGTATCAGAAGCACAAAACACACAGTAGGCACATGAGTAACTGAAAATGTGAGGGGGCCAACCTTTGCCATGAGGTCAGAAGTTATTCGTTTTTACTATTTGAAAACTAAGCTTGGCCTCTCTCCATAGAACTCTCCAGAATGGCCTGGGGGGTGGGCTTTGGAGCCAGACTCTGTGAGTACTAGTGCCATTCTGCCACTCAGCAGCTAAGGGATCCTGGGCAAGTTACTTATAAAAAAAAAAAAACCTCTCTGTGCCTCAGTTTCCTCATCTCTAAAGTGGGGATGGAAACTGAACCTCTTCTAGAGGACTGTGAAGTACATAGAGCAATACTAAGTGCTCAGTGTGGTGTGTGTCTGCCACCAGTCTTCTTTCATTTATGTATTTAAACTTGTCACCTACCTGTGCAGAGCCCGCCTTTCCTCGGCTCTGCTACAAAACCACCCCTTGGCTAGGATGGTCTCTCACCCACCATGGCATATCTGTGATGAGGGTAAGCAATGTCCTGCAAAGCTTCCCGCACATTTTCACTGACTCACACCAAATCAAAGCCCGAAGAGGCGGGGGTGGTCAGCTGGGCCAAGCCCATCAGTGTACAGATGGCAACAGTGCGCTGTCCCGTACGGCAGATAGGCTGCCCCGTCCACAGCTGGCCCACCTCCCCAGGAGGCCTGTCCAATGTGATTATCTCCCCCACACTCTACCCAGCAAGGTCCTGTGCACCAACTTCTCCAAAGAGATCTCTGTCCATCTGGCTAAAGAAGTAGATAAGAAAAAGCCAACTGTAATTTTAAAGACTGTCAAATGCTAACTACAAGTTACTCCATTTGAAAGATAGCAATGAGCACGTTTTAAATTCTCCTTCCTTCTGTGCAAACCCTACATCACTGGGAAAAAAAGCCAGTTCTTTGAAAGCTATGAACCAGACACACCAGTTCTGCGGACAGTGGGTAAGAGATAAGCTTTTCCCCAGGAATGGCTAAAGTGTTTTTTCTCTCTTGTTACCTTGGTAACGGCTACCTTGGCGCCCTTGTTGATGAGCTGAACCACATTCTCTGCTTGGCCTTTGTACGCAGCTATGAGGAGGCGTTCTGAAAGCGCAGCGACCGCATCCTGCTGGCTCATGAATTAGGACAGAAAGAGATTTTCGGGAAAGCAGTAGGCAAGTTCCTTCGGCTCAACACGACGCCACTGGCCCGGGCAGGCCCCCACGGGTAAAGGTGCTCCCGATCATCGGACGGTGCCTTTATTACTATGCCATCTTCGGGACCTAGGAGTTACAAAACAAAGCTGCCATCAGAGCCGCTCAGCACACAGGACAGGCTACACCTCTGCTCTCTGATTTTAGGATGTTCTTCTGATTGCTCACTGCAGGGGAGGGAGGCCGTGAGAGTCAGGACGAGTGGGAAGCGCACTCACGCAGCAAAGCCCTGAACTCCCCAAGCGGAAGGCAGCGGAATGTGCCAACCTCCCCCCTTTCTCCTGCCCAGGACATTCCCCAGAGGACTATGGCCAGGGCTGCAAGGTCAGCTCTGAATTTTCTGACCCAGGTAGCAGAGGTCTGATAAAATCCCCTAAACATCCCCTGGTTTCCAGGCCCGCCTTTGCAGGTAACTACTGTGTATGGTCACAAAGGGTCTCTGGATGGTAGTGTGTGGGTTCACCACAATTTCCCTGGCAAATGAGGTGCCCGTGGATCACATCCGCAAAGACCCTGAGGCGTGTGCTAAATACTTGGGGTTTTCTCCAGCATTTACTAGAGTTCTCTTCCTTCATCCTTTTCTCCCTGTGAACAGCGCAGTTTCCTGAGTTCTGGAACAGATGGAGAGCTGGGCGCAGGCCTGGGCCGTCCCCCAGTTCCAATTACCACTGGAACAACATGGGTGCTGGAAACATTGGCGGTTGCACTGCTTTGCTGCTTAACAAGAGGGAAAAAAGGCCTACGAATGCCACCCATAGACAGCTAAGCCCGACTCTGGAGCACAGTAACTACTACTAAGCTTAAGCTCTTCTTTCCACCAGTTAGCAGAATGACTGGAATTTTAAAGTCAGTCTGACCCTCCAGTACCCGGGGACCACCATTAGCACAAACCAAAGCCCTGGATAATGATGTCAAAGGTGAAGGGGTCTTTGGGTGGAAGAAGGAGTGCTTAAGGATCCACTCCTCCATGACAGCAGGGAAGTGCGGGCTTCTTTGTGATTTAAAGTGTACTTACTAAAAATACCAACATATATGCAAAGAGAAAGAAAATGCTGTGCCAACCAGGCACCATTCTTCGTCCCAGACCTAACACACATTCTAATTCTGAGGGCCCAGAAGATACAGACATCTTTTACAGTTGCTTCTATGGGAACCCAAGGCTCTGTTCAATCTCTGAAGATTAAGGAATTGGCCTTGATATGGCTGGAAAAGTCGTGGGCTGTACTCTGCTCTAAGTCTCGTTCCCCATGACATTCCAGGTGGGCCGTTTCACCAACCCATCTGGCAGGCTGGGGTTCCACACTCATATATAACAAGGACAAAAAAAATGGACTGTGGTGAGAATTAAAGATGGCATGTTATTAGGTTAAAGAATTGGCCAAATAGGATTATTATAACTTCTGAAAGAGAATTCTTATCCCCTGTCCCCCAAATTGTGAGCTATCAAATTTTCTCACTGATATCCATCATTTTGCTGCCCAAAATGTGGGCAGAGAAAAAGAGAAAAGGAACCCTCACAGACGCATCCTGCTCTGACCACCAGGCCCACAAGAAGCCCAGCAAAACCTGGAGAAGGTGCCCTCCAAAGAAGTAGACTCCCCTGCTAGCCGGTCAGAAATCTCTAGGATGCACCCCAAATCTTTGCTGAATGAATGAGCCAATGAAAGAATAAAGTTGAAACTACACACAGAGAGAAATGGGGCTGGAAACACCTTTGGAAATTCCCAAGTTTGCACGTAAGACTTGGTAGTTCGGGCTTCCTTTCCCCCTGTTCCACTCTTGGGAAGTGGTTTGTTTTTGTTAACAGAGGATACCTTGTCTCTCTTCATTCGGGTCAAAAGCGGTACCTTCAAACCAATTCCACTGAGCTTCTACTCTGTTTGCCCCAACATGGTAAAAACGCTCCAGGCCCAAACAGCAGGAAATGCAGAAAACTGGCCATGGCTCCCTAACTGCTCTCCCACCCACACCACATTGTCCTTCATTTTCCGCCTCTGTTACCTCTGCGCACTCAACCTAAACCACTCCCTTCGCCTCTCTAGGTCAGACCTACCCTACACTGGCATTAGTACATCTCAAGTACAATGGCCCAGTTCGTACAAACATTATTACCATGACTAAACTTTCACTCATTTTACTCCATAGCTTAGCTCCTGGGGGGAGATCTCGCAGCAGCTTCCGTGCAGGCATGAGCTGAGGTCACGAGCTCCTGACTAGCAGAGCTGTCCGGTTTCCCCAGCAACAGATGCACGGGTCACCAGGCCTGTAGAACGCCGACGGCCACTCCCCTGCCTCCCGCCCGGCCCACGCGATTCAGCCGCTCAGACCCTGAGACAAAGCCGAGGTGCATTCATCGCCATGGCTGCAAGCTACGGGGATAGCCTTGTTTACATGATGACTTTCGGTAAGCAGCCCTCTGCAAGCCCAGCACACATCACTATTCCTTTTTTTTTAAGATAGAAAAAAAGGACATATGTGAGAAAATGTTGACCAAGCAAAAATGTCTTCTTTCTAAATTTATTTCCAGTTACAGCTACTTAAGAATGAAATGCTCCACGCCCGCCCACCCCCTCCACCACGGCCTAGACGTAGGCAGCCTTCTGCGATGGCTGAGCCTCCGGAGCCACTCACACAGGGAAGTGCCTGCAGGAGCAGCAACAGTCTCAGGCTTCCAGTTTCCAGTTTGCTGTGAGCACCATCCCTGTGTTACTGGGTATCTCAAGATTATTCTCCACTTAAATCCATTAAAAGCTTCTCCACTAGGACCCCCGGCTCTCAGGTGTAGTTACATTTACACACAGAGTGGGTGGAAGAGATCCCAATGTCTGTACCTCCAGTCTTGGGTGGGGGTTCAGGGCAGCTCAGCCTCCTCTCCACCTCTCTCATGATCACTGTGCTAAATCCCTGGGGTCCTTACTCCCCATCCAGAAGGGTGATCCCCATCCTTTAGGAATGAGAGGATACCCGGCTTCTCATCTGATACCTCGGAACTCAGAAGTCAGGCCCGGCAGAGGTGGGCTTAGGCAGAGAGCTAGGGAGGGATGGAGGACCCCCAACGATGAGTGCAGAGGGGAGAGCAAGGCGGGTGGTGACCAGTGTGCAATCAGCCACTGAAACTTCCCTGCCAACCTGTTGTCACCTAGGCTGCGGCAGCCCCATCCCTCATTAAACCTGAGCCTCCTCTTCCAAGCAGATCAGCTATGATTCAAGACATTTCCCACTGCTGGCGCCGAGGAATTCCTGCTGCCCCAAGCCTATCACCGTATCTCTTTAGCATGATGCTCACTTCCTCGGCGTTCTGGAGAAAAATGTTAAATGCAAACATGCTGCCAGTTCTTTAAGCAGAAATGAAATAAATGCACGATCATAAACACACAATAAGCACCCTGATTCCAGAAAGATACTCCACTTCCTAAGAGAGGCTTCTCCCCCTCCTCCCAGCCCACTGCCCAATTTTCATTGTTCTCCAATTTGCCAATGCCTTTGTCTCTCATCACAAATGCCAGGGAGACACACCTTTGCTTGGTTTGTGATGCAATGAGATCAGTTTTCTTTCTATAGCAAGAGGCCTATACGGTTTGCTTTTGCTGTTTTTATGAGGATTTACAACAAAGTCTCCTGATACAAACATCCCTATATATTCAGTCTCCTGACAGGCAAAATGTTCGAGAAGAGACCTGCAAACAAAAGTCCCAGGCAGGCGTCATTCCCAACCCACCCAGAGACAGTCCACAGGTACCCAAGAACTGGTGGTTAGGGGGCGCAACCAATTACAGTAACTGGCTCTGCTGCTCCTGCTCCAAGCCCCGCGTTGAGGACAGACAGTACTCACACCCAGGGGTCGGTTCTCCCGGCTCTACATCACGTTCTGTTGCTGGACGACCGCAGTCCGTTCCTCCCTGGAGAGGGCATTAGCTCCCTCGGCTGCCTTGCCCTGTGGGTCTTCAGGGATTTACGTGCCAATGCTTGCTGCCGTGTCCCTCGAGCTTCCTCTGCCAGCACTGGCCAAGTCACATCTAAAAGCTTATTGAGACATCCATCCAGCTCACAGTGTTTTGTGGCTTCTAGTCCACTCACATAGCTTCTGAAAGTCTGGGTCTTCAGGTTGTACTGAAGTGCTCCCTCCTGCCAGCAGAGGACCTCTAACAACACCCTGATGTTAGAGTCAGGGAATAATTCAGATGAGCGGGAGGCATTTGACTGATGCTCAGATGCCGGAGAAATGAACTTTGTTTTCTTCTGGCAGTGACGCAAGAAGAGATGATTCTGTGCGTTGTATAAGAGAGGGAGGGTGCAGAAAGGGTCCGAATCTGTAATGACTGCCTGTGATAACAGTTAGGGCGATGCTCGGTTTGTGGCAACAGCCGAGCCCCAGGCACTCCACCCTCCCCGGCAGAAGAGTTCCAGCACAGTGACTGTGGCGGCGAGGAGCTAGGGGCTGGCAGAGCAGTTGCCCACGTTTGTAAGACCTTAGCATCTCACAAATCCTCCTCTGTAGGTCTCTGTGGGGAAAGGGGAAGGAGAAAACGCAAGCAAAGCTGTCTCAAGTGCTGTCAGTGGCCCGAAACATCACAGGTTTGTGCTTCGGATCACCTGTTGAAGCAGCAGAAAACCAACTTCTCAGCTGGAGCAATCAGAAAGGAAGAGGGTTTTCATTTTGATTTGAGTCACTACCACTACGTTTTCCTAATTTCTAAAGCCAGAATTGTTAGTCCTAGAGATGGGAAAAAACTACTTGATGGCAAACCCACTCAGCACTCTCCCTGCCCAAATCCTTGCTATTGCCCAAACCCTCACAGCAATAGTTCCTAATAGGCAACAGTTAAGTGGAGGAACTCTCTGCTGGGGAGGGTGGAGTGCCTGGGTCTCTCCTGTTCCCACAATGTGAGCATCACCCTAACTGTTATCATAGGCAGTTCATTACAGATCTAGGCCCTTCCTTCACACACTCATCTCTTCTGGCATCACTGCCAAGAGAAAGCAAACTTCACTTCTCTGTCATCTGGGATTCTGCTTTGGCCACTGCTGGCTTACACCAAGGATAGGAGACTTGCCAGGGCATTGCAGAGAGACTGAATTCCACCGCAGGGACCCAGTGCCAATAGAATAATCAGCTTATTTTTAATACACAATACTTGTACTAGTTTATCCCAAAGTGATCACATGTGGGACACTGCAATCACCTCTGGAGGCAAGTGAAGCTAGAACAAAAATAGATGTGACTCACTCCCTACTTTGAAGAAACTTATCATTTGGCCCTGATAAACCACAAGCAGGGCTCTTAAAAGGCCAGATGTCAGATGGGAAATGTGAACCGAATTCTACCAAAGTACCAGCAAGGTGTGGTTAATTTTCTCAAAGCTTCTGGGATGTTTCCTTCTTCTGAGAATATGTACCCATACGCAGGGACCCCCAACACAGTCCTATCCGTGAGCACAGCAGAACCTGACTGTTCACAGCCTGGTGTCCGTGAGTGCTACCTGCAAAGGACAGGGCCTGGCGAAGGGGCAGAGACACGCCTTTTGAGCAAGTACATGACTCACTGTACATATCCCACCATGGCCCCCACCAGAGGGATATGTATGCTTATTTCTTAAGCCATCTCAAGTATGGTACCTATCCTCCTATGCATCTGACAGTTACTGAATCTTCAAAATAATCACCTTTGCAGAAGCCATAAAGAGGCTGTTGCGCTGCAGGTTGAATGATATCTGGAAACCTGTGACACAGCCCACCATCAAGAAAAGCTGCTGACAAATGTATAAGTAATATTGGAGACATAAGGACCTATCACTGAATAAAGAGGTGACTGATGGAAGGCTTGTGGTGCACCCTCCCCTTTCACATGGGACAAGAAGGACCTGATGACTGCCCAGGCCTGCCAGACCACCAGAGCCTCCAACTTAAGGCTGGGTGCTCATGTCACACAGCACACACCCAAGTGCCCCAGACCCAGACCAGGGTCACTCCTGAGCCTTCTGCCGCCCCCTCTCCCTCGACAAGATGATTGTGCCCTCGTCCGTGCTCCTCCAGTTTCCTAGAAGCTCCTGCATGGATTGAACCGTGTTCCCTGCAAATTCGTATGCTGAGGCTCTGACCCTCAGCATGACTGTATCTGGAAAAAGGGTCTTTAGGAGGTAATTGAGGTAAAATGAGGTCATAAGGATGGGGCTCTGATTTGATAGGATTAGTGTCCTCATAAGAAAAGACAACAAAGAGAGCCCCTCCCCCCAATGTTCTCAATTCACATTTGTTGGGTAAAACCACAAATGCTAAAAGCAAACCAAAACAAGCAATAGCAAACTGCAGGAAACCAATCACCAGAGAGATGGCCACTGTCCATGCACCCGTGTCTCACTGCCACCCACTGCTTCCAGCTGCGTTGACCTGGCTTCTTTCTGTCTCCAATTTTCCTCCTTAACTGTTGTTGTTGTGACTGCTGACTCTGTGGTGTCTTAAGCATTTATCAAAGAGGAGGGCACAAAGAACTAGGGACACTGGGAGATCTTTCTTGCTTAGTGTGCTGGGTGCAAGGAGTCGGCAAAGTTCTCCCAGGGAAGGGAACATCTGGGTTGGGTGGCAGACAGTGTGTAGGATTTTGTTAGGCAGAGCAGTGCAGGGATGAGAAAGTCAGAGCAAGAAGACAGAGTGGTGGGGAGGTGGGTGCCAGGAGGAGGGAAGAGAAGCACAGAGTGTTGCAGCTGGAGCACAGAATGCATGGGCAGTGCCCTGGTAGGAAGCCGGGCTGTGAGAAAATTTTCCTTCATGTCAAAGACATCAGATTGTATCTTGCATTTATGATAAAGAGCCCTAGAAGTTGGTAAGCAGAAGAGAGACTAGTAAGATTTGTGCTCCACTTGGTCCAAGCACACAGAATGGGACTCATTATAATTATGTGCTCATGCTGCACTTTCAAGATTGTGTAAACGTGGCTTTCTTTCTCTTTCTTCCTTTATCTCTTTCTTTTTTTTCCTCCCTTTTCTCTTTTTCTTTTGATTAATAGATTTTTTTTTAAAGGACAGTTTTAGCTTTGCAGAAGAACTGAGCAGAAGGCACAGAGTTTCCAGAGCCCTCACCCGTTGCCCCCCACCCCCACCAGTTTCCCCCATTATAAACATTGTGCACAGTGGTGGTCATTTGTTACAAAGATGAGTCCATATTGATGCATTATTATTAACTAACACCCAGAGTTCACACCCAGGGTTCATTCTTCGTGCCGTATAGTTGCAGGACTTTGGACACATGTATGATGGTGTGCGTCCATGGTTACAGTATCACAGAGAAGAGTTTCACTGGCCTAATGCTCAAACTAGTCATTCCTCCCTCACCTCAACCCCTTGAAACCACTCAACTTTTTACTATCTCTATAGTTTTGCCTTTTCTAGAATGTCATTTATTTGGAATCATACATTATGTAGCCTTTTTGACTGGTTTTTTTCACTTAGCAATATGCACTTAAGGCTCCTCCACATCTTTCCATGCCTTGACCGTTCATTTCTTTTTACTGCTTAATAATAGTATTCCATTATACAGATGTACTACACTTTATTTATCCATTCACCTATTTAAGGACATCTTGGTTACTTCCAAGTTTTGGCAATTATGAATCAAGCTTCTATAAATGTTTTTGTGTGAACATAAGTTTTCATCTCATCTGTGTAAACACCATGGAGTACAACTGCTGAGTCACATGCTAGGACGATGTTCAGCTTTGCAAGAAACTTTGTGCTGTCTTCCCGAGTGGCTGTGATATTTTGCACTCCCACCAGCCGGTTTTATATTGACCTCATTTGCCAGGTGCAATGGTAACTTCCAGTCCTTACCTTGGGTGATTCCCCTGGTGCCTCAGGCACTGCTACCATTCCTTCATCTCACTTCCTTCTTTGGTTTGTGCGACCCTCTCTCCTCATTCTCCTACCAGCCCTTGAACCATTTTTTTCTCTCATTCAAGGGCTCCTCTATCACTGGTCCCTCAAGTGGTACACATCCCTGAGAGTCTCTCCTCAGTTGTCTTCTCTGCTCAACTTCTTCTCCAGAAGATCTCAGTACCCCCACCTCTCCCTGCTGCCACACCTGCTCCCCTGCTGTCTAGATACAGATGCCTCCATATATGCTTCTTTATCCTCAATCGCTTTCTGAAGCTCTATATTTTAAACACCTAACCATTTAGCAGACATCTTCCTTGGATGTCCCCATCAACATATTCACATCTAAGTTACCATCCTTTCCAAACCCATTCCTTTTCCTAAGTTCCTATCTTGGTGAGGGGCTTCATCTTTCATGTATGTGCCCATCTCCCTAATCTGGAACATTCCCCCTATTCTTCTTATTCTCCTCCCCTTACCCCTCCATTCAATAAATTACCAAATCTTCCTGATTTGAGATAGCAAAGAACACAAATTAAAAATGAGAGCTTTGATGCACTATTTACAATAGCCAAGATATGGAAGCAACCTGTGTCCATCAGTAGATGAATGGATAAAGAAGATGTGGTACATATACACAATGGAATATTACTCAGCCATAAAAAGAAAAGAAATCCTGCCATTTGCAACAACATGGGTGGATCTGGAGGGTAATATGCTCAGTGAAATAAGCCAGGAAGAGAAAGACAAATACCATATGATTTCACTGATTTGTGGAATATAAAAACAAAGCAAAATAGAAGGAACAAATAGCATTAAACTCATAGGCACTGAGAAGTGACTAGTGGTTACCCAGGGAGAGGGGAGGGGAGGGGAAGAGGGGGACTGTTGAACCACTATGGTGTACATTTGATTAAAAAAAAAAATACAGCACTCAACAGAGGAATAATACAAGTAGAGTTTGATCCAGGAATGCAAGGATGGTTCCATAAGGATTATATTAACAGTTGCTTAAAAGGCAGCGATTCCTAATAAAGACCAGAAGAGAAGACAGTTCTTCCCTCCTAACCATAGTCCATCATGCACTGGACCACCATGCTTTGCTCTATCAAGCATGTGGAGAGAGGGGGAGAAAGACAAGTACCAAATGACTTCACTCATTTGTGGAATATAAAAGCAAAGCAAAACTGAAGGAACAAAACAGCAACAGACTCACAGACTCCAAGAAGGAACTCATGGTTGGGGGAGGTGGGTGGAGAGGGAGAAGCAGACTAAGGGGCACTATAATTCACAATCACAGTATAGGT